CATTGTCCAACAGTTTGTTTCCCGATTTTTGATTTGTTTGACATAGAACTTAAAGTGAACACATCAATTGAGTCCTAATCGGGCGCGACACATAAGTCAAAACAAAATCATCGAGGGGCCCAAGATATCGCTTTTGATCCTCTTAGGATAAAACGAAAAGATTAACTTCGACTTATATGCTTGTACTAACTTGTCGTTAAGTCATACACAACAATACAATTTATAACACTAAGTTACTGATGCATTTTCATACTATCAACACACAACCAACTCGTAGTCAAAAACTCATATATCTTGGTTTGAAAACTATAAGAAATTATCATCTCACAATCACTCGTGATAAATTCCATGAAGTGATTCGTGTGAGCGTGATTTTAATCCAATACTCAAATCTTATTTCAGGAGCACTCATGAACTTTGTAGCAAAATTTTGATATGTATAAAAACTTTAGACAATCTTCAAGTCAATTAATGACAGTCTTGTCTTAATACGTACTTTGAAAGTATGATCGATTGTGGAAAATTTGAATAATCTTATTATTCTGGAAGTCAACACATGAAAAAGTGAAACAATACTAAAAAACTGATACAAGATATTAACTTTACTTATAAATAAAACACCTTTTATTTAATCATCAAATGTCAATTACATTTTTTCTATTACAAGTTACTAAACAACTATGTAATCACTAAAACTAATATCTTCTTTCAGTTCGATACTCCTAGCATCCTGCAAGTGCTTAACCCTAATCAGTCCCTTTGTAAGGGGATATGCTAGGTTATCGTCTGATGAAACCCTCTTTACTACGAGGAGTCCTTCTTCTACTCGATGTCTTATGAAGTGCTATTTTATGTCGATATTCCTGGATCTTGCATGTTACCTCGTTTCCTTGGTTAAGGTGACCACTCCTTCGTTATCGCAGAAAATCTCAATAGGCTCCCTTATGGATGGTATAACTCCAAGGTCTTCGATGAAGTTTTTCAACCATATCGCCTCCTTTGATGGTTCGCTCACTGCTATGCACTCTGATTCACATGTTGAATCAATTACAGTCTCCTACTTGGAACTTTTCCAACTTACTGGTCCTCCATTTCTGGTAAATTCCCAGCCCGACTAAGAGCAAAAGTTATATTGATCAGTGTGAAAACTGATCTCACTATACCCTATTACTGCAAGTCATTGCTCCCACCAACAGTAAGGACCCAGTCTTTAGTCGTTCGCAGGTGCTTAAGAGTGTTATTACTACAGTCCAGTGAGCTCTACCAAGGTTCTGTTAGTAACGACTAACCATGCTAAAAAAAACCCACATCAGGGCGAGTACACATCATATCATACATAATCGAGCCAACAACGTAGGCATATGGCACTTGACTCATGTCCACTATCTTTTCATCAGTTCTTGGACTCTGAGCCTTGCTTAGTTTGGTATTGCTCTGGAATGGAAATTCACCTTTCTTGGAATTCTCCATGTTGAAACGTTTCAAAACCTTATCCAATTAGGTACTTTGACTAAGTCCAATTAGCCTTTTACTCCTATTTCTCAATATCCTTACCCCTAGAATTTAAGAAGCTTCCCCAAGGTCCTACATAGTGAAACACTTCCCAAGCCAGGACTTAACTTCCTGCAAGGTTGGGATTTCGTTTCCTATGAGCAGTATGTCATCCACATACAATACGAGAAAGCTCACTACACTCCCACTAGCCTTGACATACACAAAGGACTCATCATCGCTTCTCAAAAATCCAAACACTTTCACTTTTTCATCGAAACAAAAATTCCATGTACGAGATGCTTGTTTCAATCCTTAAATGGATTTATCAAGCTTACACACTCTATTAGGGTACTTCGCATCGAAAAAGCCCTCTGGCTAACTCATGTAAACATCTTCAGCCAACTTTCCAATAAGGTAAGCGGTTTTGAAATCCATTTGCCATACTTCATAATCATGAAATGCAGCTATGGCTAGCATAACACTTATAGATTTAACCTTCCTTACTGATGAGAAGGTCTCATCATAGTCAACTCCAAGAGTTTGAGTAAAGCCCTTCACAAAAAATCGCACCTTATATGTGTCTACTTTCCCATCCATTACGATCTTCTTATTGAAGATCCATTTGCACCCGACCATCTTACGACGTGGTACATTGTCAAAAAAGATCCAAACTTGATTGCCATACATGGACTGAATCTCGCTGTCCGTTGCCTCATTCCATTTTGCAGACTTGGGGCCCACCATGGATTCCTCGTAGTTAGATTCCTCATCAAAATTTACAAGTGTATTGTCACTAATAAATGTATCACCTTCGGTAGTAATATGACATCCATAAAACTCCAGTGCCATTCGGACTCTACAAGAAGATCTCATAGTTAAGGACTCGTCAATTGATTCAACAGGACTTTCCTCTTCATGTTGAGCGCTAGTGTTTGAGGTTCCTTCATCACTTAACTCTTGAAGTTCTTCAAGGTCAATTTGCCTCTCACTGTCCTCTTGGAAAATGAGTTCCCTTTCACGGAAAACCCCTCTCCTCACAATGAAGCCAAGATTGTCACTCGGTCTATAGAAGAGATATCCAAAGGATTTATGTGTGTAGCCGATGAAAATACAATGCTCACTTTGAGGTTCGAGCTTGTCATGAGTCTCTCATCTTATGAAAGTCTCGTGACCCCAACCTTGATAAATGCTAACAAGGGAGCCTTCCTTGACAATATTTCGTGAGGTGTTTTGGCAAACTTCTTAGTTGGGACTAGATTAAGGATATGGGCGGTAGTCATTAAGGCATACCCCCAGAATGAGATAGGCAACGAATCTTGACTCATCATGGAACGAACCATGTCCAACAAGGTTCGATTGTACCTCTTAGCCACAACATTCAGCTGCGGTGTCCTAGGTGGCATAAACTGTGAAACAATTCCACATTCCTTAATATAGTTGCGGAACTCGATACTAAGATACTCACCACCTCGATCGAATCGGAGCATATTCATCTTATTGCCCAGCCGATTCTCCCCTTCTAGTTTAAACTCTTTAATCTTTTCAAAGGTTTCGGACTTATGCTTGCTTAAGTAGATGTATCCATATCTGCTATACTCATCGGTAAAAGTCACATAGAAGCGGTTAGCATCCCTTATGGTGGATCTGAAAGGTCCACACACATCGGTGTGTATGAGATCCAACAAACCCTCACCTCTTTCACAAGTACCAGTGAAAGGTGAATTGGTCATCTTTCTATGATAACAAGATTCACATGTGTCATTTGACATGAAGTCAAATGACTATAATACTCCTGCCTTTTGGAGTAGGGCTATGCATATCTTGTTGACATGTCTAAGACGACAATGCCACAAGAATGCTTTGTCTAAACCATTAGACAAATTGATAGCAACACATTATTTCCTAAGTTATCTACAACCATCACGATTTCATATATACCATTACAAGGGAATGATTAAAAATAAAAGATACCATTAGAAAAAGCATTAATAGAACCAATTTCATTATTAAATGAAAATCTAAAACCTTGTTTATACAAACCATGAAAATAAATAATGTTTCTCGCTATATCTGACGAGTAGCAATAATTATTCAACTCTAAATTTAACCCACTATGAAGAAGTAAAGAATAAATTCCAATCTTTGTGACAGGCGAAGGTTTCCTATTCCCCATGATCTAGTTCATCTTCCCGTGCTCCACATCACTACTTATTTTTAGTCCCTGCAAATCAGAACAAATGTGAAAACCACATCCTGTATCAAGGACCCAAGAATTAGCATGTGATGATCTATTTGACAGAATAGTGTAAATATCTGTTAAGGTGGGTTTTATCTTCCCATCCTTGATGTCCTGCAAGTATTTGGGGCAGCTTCGTTTCCAGTGCCCTTTTTCATGTCAATGGAAGCACTCTGCTTCCTTTGGATTGGAATAGGGTTTAACCGAACCACTTTTGGTCCCACTAGAAGAGGATCCATCATGGGTCTTTCCCTTGTGGCTCTTAGAAGGAGCCTTCCTCTTCTTTCCTTACCCATGTCCAATTGCTAGAACATGGGCATCAGTAGTAGGAGTGGATACAACAAACTTGTCTTTCAAATTAATTTCAGCAGGCTTTAGTAAGCCTTGAAGCTTGCTTAGAGTGACATACTCTTTTTCATATCATAAGTCATTCTACATTGATGACAACAAGGAGGCAAAGAGTGTAGGATGATGTTAATGGCTAAATCTTCATCGAAGTTGACATTCAACTACAGCAAGCGATCCATAAACCTTTACATCTTTTGCAAGTGGGCATGATGGACTCTCCATCCTTCATTTTTGTTGTAATCATGGAGGCAATGATTTCATACCTTTCATGTCAAACACTTTGATGGTACCTTTCCATCAATTCTTGGTGTATCTTATAGGGCCAAAAGTCCTCATAAGAATTTTGAAGCTCAGCAGTCAAGGTAGCAATCATGATGCACAACACCTTTGCCACAATCCTCTAATGAACCCTGTATTCCTCGATTTCCTTGGGAGTAGAAGTTTGTTCATCAATCTCCTTTAGCTCTTTATCGAGGACATATTCCTTATCCTCGTAGTGAATGTCCATACGAATGTTTCGGATCCAATTCTGGAAGTTTGACCCATCGAAGATAATTCTCCCAACTAAGTTCATGAGGGAGAAAGATTCGGAGGGGTTGGAGCGAGAAGTAGTGTTGGAAGACATCTAAAAAGAAAGACAAAGTTTAGATTAGATAAGAATCCTTAACATAACACCCAAATGAAATATTAAGGATAAGACCCAACACAATATTTCACAATTCGAAAGATGGATGCCATAATCCAATTGCAATTCGAAGGTAGGTAAACAACGATTTACCAATTTCCACCATGAAAAAAGACAAAGAGTATTAAGTTTTAAATGAATTAAAATTACTAGATTCTTTTTAGATTCATTGAACTTTTCAATAGCATGTTTAAATCTTGATTGTTCCCTTCAAGTTTGTGACTGCGATACCAAGGATCACAAACAAGGTGTGAATAACCATGAAAATTGCTCCTTCAAGCTTACAATAGTATTACACAAAGGTCTTAGCCACGATTCGGTCACCCCAACACGGTAAACCCGGTCGGCGGCTGCAACCATCATATTAGAAGCTCGGGCTATGGCATAACACAGGTCACCAACAACTTGAACCCCAAATTTTCCCGCAAGAAATCTCATTGAAGCCGAGGATTGAGAATAGAACACTCCATTCCGGTCAATGGTATCATCCGATAGTAAATAATGCCCAGTAATCGCCCAGCCTGGAGCATAAGCTTTCGAACAAGAGGTGTTAGGCGCAATTCCTATTTTGTCGTTCGCTGAAGGCTTCTTTAACTGAACGGAAGCCCTGGGTGAAACTAATATACCCCCAAATGTGGATTCATAATTAAGATCAATTGGGTAGGCCGTAGCAAACGTGAGAGGAGGTAACGTCATAGAATTAGGGATCACCACTTTAACTTCTCTACAGACATTGAAGACTTGTTGCCTAGAACATCCCCAATGTTTCCAAGAAGTCTGATCATAGATACATTCATGTGCACTTTACGAGGACGAGGACGCCCATCATCGGATTCCGGAAAGGAGCAGTAACCCTCCCAGCTTGTATGCCCATTGACGAACAAGGAGGGACATAACTCAGTGGATGAGTCGGGAAACGACTCCGATGGCCGATCAAGAAGGAAATACATGCCCGCTAGAACCAGCATTTCCCCCTTCCACAGAGAGAAATCCAGCTAGGTCTCGCATACACCTTTCCGATTCAGGAAGGGGTAGAGCCTCTACAAGATCGACCTCCCGATGATAGAGCCTACCTTGATAGTCGCTGCACAAATCCATCTCCACATAAATCTTGGCTTCAGCACCTGTACATATAAGAATTAATTATAAGGACGCATCAGCTACCCTGCTCCTCCTCTCATTTTCTTTAAAAAAAACAAAAAGGGAGTGGGGGAAGCGAAAGGAAGAAAGAAACAAAAGAATATCACATGTCACAAAAAACAATTGAGCCATCTTCCCATGGGCTCGCTAAGCAGCCTCATACCATCCGGACCGAGATCGGAATCCTCCCAGTTCTCCCCAACAATGGTAATGCCACCTAGTTGCTAAGCAAGGGTTAGGTTCCTCACAAACAATTTGGGAATGCGATCTGGGAAATCTTGTGCTTAGTGATATCCACTCCCCACGAGGTCCCAGTCAACCCAGAGCCATTGCCTTTGCCAAATTTTCTTTGGGACGTCTTGTTCAGAGATTAGCTGATGAACGCCCTGCCTTTTTGCCAAAGTACGAACACCAGAATTCATAGTCAAATACAAGAGGTAATTGAAAACCCAGAAGGTGGGGATACAACCTAAAGATCGAAAACTCAGTTCAAAACCGATGATTTTATTGACATCGCTCGGAGTCAACTCGTCGACGGAGAAGCCATAGTGGTCCATGATCATGTTGAAGAAATTAGAATGTTGAAAAACGAAACCCCGTTTCGAATAAAGGGATCAAAACTCCTACCTTCCCTCAAGGGCAGTTGTGGATTGGTACCCCCTTCGCAGAAATCATTACTCCGGTAAGAAACCGAAACGATCCTACAAAAGCTGGAAATCCTCCATAGTAGGGATGCTACAATGATGATCCATTGCCTAGAACAAATTAATGATAGAGAAGGAAAACTCATAGAATGCCCAAGATGAGGTAGAGGAAGCAGAGGTAGACGATAATGATAAACGATCTTGGCATGGGAGGGGGGGAACTTTAAAGGCATAACTGGTAGCATGAACCGCCACCCTTTTCTTGGGGCTGACTTATGATGACAACATTGTCAAAAACCTGTTCCAAGTTAAAAATAATCACAGGCGTACATGTTTTGACAAAATAGGCTTGAACATCGATGCTATCAGGCCAACGCAAATGCCTACAAGCCTAGGGGACTTGTTATTGTATCCCTCAGAGGTAATGTCAAAAAGAGAAGTCAAAACAAGTATGGAGCTTGGCCTAAGCTAAACTTAGTTAGACCAAGTCCAAAGCAGAGGTTGGGCCTTGCAAACATGAAAGACATAGGTGTGACGGTTAGAGTCTAGAGCATTGCCATAATCTCCTCACTAAGGGATAACATCCCGGTGAGCGAGGGACCCTTTAGATCATCCCGCATGCTCATCCGACAATATCCACGATGTACATAATAACTAAAAAATCATCCTCCAGCCAAGGAGGAAAGGGTGTAGAAAGGATGTGATGAAGTATGTTCTAGTAGGAGTCTGCCACGTGACGTCCCATGAAGGAATGTCCGATAGAATCCGCTAAGGCCCACATGCCTCTAGAACCAGGTATAAATGGATCTATCTTCCTCATGAACAGGGGGACTCTCCTTCCAGAAATATTCTTTCTCTTCTCTAAAAGCAAGCACTAACTAGATTGTCGCAGCTTCATCCCAGGAATCCCTCCCGGACATTGACTAACGATCTATTTTCCATTTTTGTATTGTGATATCAGGAGAGGGCATCTACACTAAACCCACCGGAAATCTTAGCACTACCGTCACATCATATCACAACAATTCACTACCCCAGCACACTTGACAATTAGCACGTATGCCATCATTGAGCATGCAAATCCATTCGTATTACTATTTTGTATTAGCTTTTAGCCTCCTCAAGATGATTTTTTGGCAGCACTACTATTACATCAATCATGAACCCATTGCATTAGCATGTCGATCCGACTTAGCACGTACATCATCCCTGCTTTCTGTGTATTTAATCATCCCAAAAGAGAATTCTCGATCAAGACCTACTTCATGTGCATTCATGAGATAATTTTAAACCTACGGTGCTTTCTCTATCGATCTTCCTCAAGCACACCTCACCCAGCAAGTTGCTATGAAGAACCAAAGAATTCACAAATTTATTTTTACTATTTTTATGATAATTAGAATGTGATACATTATGGGTTTTAGTATACTACAACATCCTATGGTGCACATACAACCCCAAGTACCTTTGATCTATGTTTTCACTAATTATACATGCAAATGGTTTCCAAGACATTAAACTTATAACTAGCATGCAATTTGTCATAAACAATACAAGATACTTGTTAGAGTAACATACCTTTTATGTGGCTTGAAGTCTTGATGTATTTTGTGTAGCTTGAAAGACTTTGGCCTTTAAGAACTTAATGCCCCAAGTGTTGCACCTCAAATGGAATCACAACTCACCTAGAACAAAGATGACTCTTGAGAGAGAATTCCTTGCACCCAAAAACATCCAAATTTTTCTAAGAAAAAGAAGCACACATTTTTGGTCATGATCTAACATATTTATATGTTGGATTCCAAGGGTCATGGGTATAACCCAAATCCATATCCATGAGTTTTATGATCCATGGTTCATGTGGCCCAGCTCTTTATATATCAACACATAAACTTAGTCCAACATGGATCATAAGCCCAACACATATAAATATATCTAATTACCATAACTAGTCCCCATAGATTTAATTAGTGTCTTTTGATCACTCAATTAATTCCAAATTAATTCTTGATCAATACTAATTAAAACATATGATTTTTTATTAACATATTATAACTTATAATATATTAATAAATCATATATAACCTTCTCTCAAGAGTCCATCCTAACAAATTTTCCTGGTGTTATGCAACCCAAATGGACCATGCTACTCTCGGTTCAAGTACATACCAATAATAGTTATGGGATTAGACATCTAATCCAACAATCTTGCACTTGGATAAGTCTAAAACTGTTATTGCAAATATGACTCCAAGATCCCGACTAGCAATCGTAGCCCTTAAAATCCACCGTCGAACTCTGATCTAGTCAATGACATGTCTATTAGATAAGGGATCATATATTCGTCCATTCTAGATATTATATGGACTGAGACATGGATTATAAGCATTCTCTCTATCCATCTGTTGTTTCCTGATGTCCGATTTATGATGACTGACTACTTGAACAAATCAAATTAGTACAGGCTCGGCCGAGCACTTACGTTTATCATCACTAAATCATCAAGGGGTACATAGATATCGCTTTTATCCCTCAAAGGGTAAAAGGAATGGATAAACTTCGACCCAAATGTTCACTTGTACTTACTCATCAAATTACACACAATGATATCTTTTATAACAACCAAGTTACTGGTTGCATTTACATATGTCAATGTGTAACCGACACGTAACTACAACTTACACGTCTCTGTTTGAAGAATATATGATATTATCATCTAATGATCACTCGTGATAAAATCCATGAAGTGAGTCAAATGAGCGTGGGTTTAATCCAATGCTCGAATCTCATTCCAAGAGCACTCATGAATACTACATCTATGTCTATGCCACCTAGAGAGACTATAGACCAATTAATGACAGTCTTGCCTCATATGTAATTCCAAAGAATGATTGACTGTGGAGAGTTTGAATAACCTAGTTATTCGGGAAGTCAAAACATGCAAAGTGAAACACAAGAATAATACTAATCCTATATGGCCCCAACCACCTTTGAGAGTAAATAAACACCATTTATTTAAACAAGATATTGATTACTCATTATTTATTGTATAATGTTTCAAATAATCAACTTTATACTTGAATTAAAACAATAGTCATTCCATACTCCAAGCATGCACCCTATGTTTGTCCAAAAAATAGTTATGCCATACTCCAAGTATGCACACAATATTTGTCTGTGATCCTTACTTTGTGGAATCAATCAGTTGAACATAATTCCAATGATTCTCATTTCACAATCCCAAATCCTTATCGTAAATGTAAGGATTCCAAATTCCTGCCATTTACCAAAATCTATTATATTATAAACTTATATGCATTAATCCTCTTGTAATAACTATGCACAAAGCACAAAGAGTTGCCAGCAGATATCACAATTGTTATCTACTTAAAATCTTCTTAATGAAAGCGTTTCCTCACCATCATTTTCATGAATCGAAGAGAAACCTTATGAAACTTATATTTTATTGTGTATGTGTTCCTATCCATGTAATTTTGTCATAACTACAAGAGGAGGTTAGTGACAAATCCAAACTTATATGGAGTGAACTTGTTCAATCTTAACTTCTTTCCACCTGACAGTACAAGGTCCTACTATTTGTTCCAAGTAGTTATGTAGACAACTGAGAACTCATAGAACTCACATGCATAGTCAACTCTAACTAGAATGGGCACAAAAACACGAATACGTCAACACGACCGGTTACAAACCTTAAGTCGTGTGCTAGTGATAACCAACAGGTTTTATTCTTGATTAGTTCTTGAAACTCTTTCAGGATCTTTAAGACTCCCACTGAACTCTTGACATATAAGATTCTCTTGTCAAGAACCATTCCTTGACAAAGCAAATAGTCAAGAGTTTGTGTGGGTTCTTATCAAGAAAAACACTTCATGTAATTGGCCTTAGTTGGTCTTTGTTTTATCCAAAACATCACAACTTACCAATTTCAAATGTACAAGAGTAAGAAGAGATTTTACTCTACATTTGACAAGTGTTATAAACCTTCTTAAGATTATGTCACTCAAGTTACAATTTTGGAGTATTACTCTAAGTCTCGAAGACTCAATTTTAGAATGAAGTGTGATTCATCTTTTGATTTAACCATTTCAACAATTCGCGATTCCTCTTATTAGTTATACGAATGAACTAAGATGTCCTTAGAGGATCAATTGTGATATGGTTTCATGATCACTAAGATAATCATAAAACATGATACTAAAGTACTCTCCCATCTTTTCAGATTTGAGAAACTTTTATCTTTCTGCCTAATTTGATTCTTCTCATTCGTTCTTCCATACATTGAAACTTTTCCAATGTTTCAGAATTGTACTTAAACTTGTAAATATAACCATATTTACTAAACTTTAATAAATCATTACGAATAGTCTTATCTATCTTTGTTGTGGACCTAATCAGCGAACAACCAAGTGTACCCAGTTTTCTAGTCCTTCACTTGACTCACATATACCTGTGAACAGGTTAGTCTTAATTTCCCAAAGATGAAAATTCTCATTCAACATACATTACAAGTTGCATGATTCCAAGTTTCTATCCATCTGAAACTTGGATAATGAGAACCTTTCCTTATTTGGTAAATTATGACACCACCACAAACGAAAGAATCAAATCTATATTCCAATATTGCTATCAATGGAATTATATAAACAACAATTTTCACAAATCCCATTTTAAGGATACTTAAATTAAATAAAATCAAAAATTTTCCTTTTTATTTTAAAATTTATGGAAAAACTTATTCTTAGAACGCTATGAAAACTATGTTGTTATCTATTCCTAGCTATCTACCATAACTCTTAAGAAGTAGCTCAAAATCTGATCTTCGAATCATGCAATCGAAATCGATCTCCTCGCGATCAGAATCAACTTACTCCTCTTTCAAGCTTCCTCTCTTTTCTTTG